CCTTGCTTACTCTATTAGATTCCCCCATGTCATTCTCCTTCATGTCACCTTCTGCTTTGTTTATTTCCTTAGGAGCACTTAACACCCTTTATAATTTGTTTACCTTTTATTGCTAGGTCTCCCTGTAGACAGTTAAGCTCTGGAGAATATGTTTGTTTTGTTGACCACAATACACCCAGTTTCTGTCTCATTGCCTGGCCCATATTAGGTGTTCATTAAATATTTATGGAAAAAATGAATAGGCATTTAATACCTGGTTTCCCTGTGAAGTCTTGGTACATTTTTATTATGTTTGGTTTTGGCAGTCTGCTTACTATTATATGGAGGAAATCAAAGAAATATCAAGGTGTGGAATATTCTGCTTTTATTTTTGCTTTTTGTTATGTGTTTGAGTGACGAAGTTAAGATTTTAGGAATTTTATAGCTAATTGAAAGCTCTTTGTTTATTTTTTTAAAGATTTTATTTATTTATTTGACAGAGAGAGACACAGAGAGAGAGGGAACACAAGCAGGGGGAGTAGGAGAGAGAGAAGCAGGCTTCCCGCGGAGCAGGGATCCTGACGTGGGGCTCGATCCCAGGATCCTGGGATCATGACCTGAGCCGAAGGCAGACGCTCAACGACTGAGCCACCCAGGTGCCCCTTGAAAGCTCTTTTAAAGACAATATTTTAGGGTGCCTGGGTGATTCAGTTGGTTAGGCATCTGACTCTTGATTTCAGCTCAGGTCATGATCTCAGGGTCATGAGATTGAGCCCCGCATCAGGGGGCATGGAGCCTGCTTTAGATTCTTTCTCTCCCTCTCCCTATGCTCTTCCCCCACGCATGCACACATGCACTTTCCCCAAAAAAAAAAAATAATAATAATAATAAAGACTGTGTTTGACCATAATATACCTCCATCACTATGTTCTAAGAGTAACAAAAGTCATCATTCTCCTGTTCGTGCCTCACATTTTACATAGGTTAATTGGGAACATAAAAGACAAAGATAGGGGCACCTGGGTGACTTAGTCTGTTAAGCATCGAATGCGTGATTTAGACTCAGGTCATTATCTCAGGGTCATGTGATCAAGTCCCACTTTGGGCTCCACACTCAGCATAGAGTCTGGTTGTGATTCTCCCTCTCCCTCTGCCCCTCCCCTTGCTTGCGCTTGCTCCCTCTCTCTCTCTCTCTCTCTCTCTCAAAATAAATAAATAAAATCTTTAAAAAAAAAGAAATGAAGATAAACTTAATACTGAATTCCAAAGCACAAATTAAAAAAAATGGAACTTTCTATCCCTTCTGAAAAACAATATAAGAGATCATGAAAAATGTTTAGCTATAAAAACTATTCATACCTCTCATAGGTTTCTGGGGAATTATAATGTTGATATAAGTACTACAAATAATGACTCAATTATATATATGAAATGGTTGAATTGATGGCTACTCTCTTTATTACCATCAGAGTGTTAAAACTGCATTTGTTTAAACCATTAATGTGATACATTGTTCTTTTAAAAAATTCCCCATGCTAATTGTTGGCTATTTTTCATATCTCTTCAGGACCCAACCCATAATGATATATTAAATAAGCACTCCATACATATTAAACAAATGAGTAGGCATTAAGTATATGCCATTAAATTGAGATTGAAGTATACGTATCCATATTGTGAACTTTCCTAGAGACACTGTGTGCCGTGCTGCATACATCTTAAGCACCCAGTTAGCTGGTTATTGAAACTAATTATCAGGCAGGCTATAAAACAGATAGCCATTTGTGATCTCTTCTAGCTCTTTAATCAAATAACTTCAAATACCTTTTTAAAGGCCCTATCTGGACAGAGTTTTCTAGAAACTCTAGGTACTATGCATAAGGTAAATTTGTTCAATAATAGCTAAAATATTAAAATATATGCTTGATTTATTCTATATACTACAAAATTTCCAATGGCAATTAGAAAATAATAACAAGTCTCATTGGGAGTTACTGATAAATGTTATGCTTTGGCATTAGCTAACTACATTCTAATATGCAGTAGGTATCTTTTGCCCAATTACAGTGTACATTTCTTTAATTTTACCTGTAGGGGTCACTGGTGTCACAGGGCAATCTTCCTCTCTGTTTAGGTTTTGATGGGTAATTACCTGCTGACAGGTAATGTATTATAGGAATAAGGTAATATATTCTTACGATTTACTATTCAGTAAGGAATTCATTAACATAAAGATTATGACCTAGAATATACCCTTGGGAAACTTTCATGTTGATATGCTTTTATTTGGAAGGTGAGTCACTATGTTTGCTAGTGGAAAATAGTTGACAGAAACTTCATTTTTACCTTACTTCTTACTGGATATAACTATGGGGTTCAGTCAAATGACAATGAACCAAGAAAAAAAGTGAGTCATTCATTTAAAATTTATTAAATGGATATATCCTTGAATATCATAAGAGGTATGATTGTCATAAGAAAAATGCATTATGTAAACCTAGTTAATGAAACTAACTTTACACATTTTACTAGGTATGTTAGTAAATTCTAAATAGTAGCCTTCATTCCATTCAGGTTGTTAATATAGAGACTATGAGATGCTTCGCATGAATTATTTAGTTAAGATGGTGACAATAAACCTTAGCATTTGATAATCTAATGCAAATTCAGTTTTTGTATTCATATAACTAATTCTTTTATATATGGTATTTGCCTAAGTATCAAATAATTAATCTTAAAATAACAAGTTTTTTTTTAATTGGTGAAAATAGCCCAATTAGACTTATTGTTGATCTGATTCTTCTCTTTGAACAAATGTGAAGACTTTGAACAAATGTGAAGATACGGAGTTTAGAGACAAATTGGACTAAATCCAATTCATTTCCTTTTCTAGAACAAAAATGATGTCAGCCAGGGAGACACCTTAAATGTAGAAAATCTCCATGCAACTCCTGACTGGGGAGAGTGTATCATCCACAGGCAATAATACCTCTGCTGTGTTGGTCAGCGAATAGTACAATTCATTGCTGCTGTGTTTGTTTTTTTGTGGGGAATAAACTAAGGTGACCAAAAGAATAAAGGAAGTTTGGTTATTTTTCACTAAGGTTTATATTGGCAATAAAATCAATTCAGAGAGTTTATTTTTAAGAAACTGATTTTTTTTTAATTCAAAGCCAAAAGTGGCAATGACACACCATCCCAAATCCATAAAATAGTTATGTAACTCTATGATTGTTAGAACTGGATCCATCAGGTTCTTGCAAAATTAAAATAGGATTTTAAAAGTTAATTTTTAATTCCTTGGAAATTTCTTCATAACCTTTCCCTATTTCACAATGAAAGACAAACACTATCTTGAAGTTGAAATGCAAGTAAATTCTGAAAAAAAAATGTATTTGTACTAGAATGGCAAATGTTGTCAGAAATTGGAAAGTGGCTCTTAAAGAAACTCTCAGCAGGAGAGCCATAATTAGTTTTAAGATTTACTTCTAGTGGTTTCTCAGATCAACAGGACTTTGTTTACTGTAGCATCTTGAGGTATCTAGGGGACATTCAGTCTTCAAATATCAAGGGATCTGTGTTTTACTGTAGTCAAAGAGCAATGTGAAAATATATGTGAAAGTCACAACAAAAGTTCCAAGTAGAAGTCATTTAACTTGAGGTCAGCTCTCTTTACATGGAATATATATTTAGACTTTTCAATCTTAAAAATAATCATTATATAACTGTCCCATACTGTATGGATTTGTATATATTTATTTTGAGAAAAAAAATCCTCTTCCACTCTTTTGTGTGGTATATATTCTGGTTTTGGAGATAAGATATAAAAATACATACAATAAAAATATGTATTTTTTAGCTTACATAGCAGTGATGGGAAAACAAATTATCATTTTACTTTTATATATCAAATTTGTCTGAAAACTAAGTCTGGTAAATTTTAAAACTCACTGGAAAAGGACCATAAAGGCAGAGAACTTCATAGTGGCATTAATGAATTAAATAAGTATTTTTTGAGCCTATATGATATGTTAATTTTTATTTAGATATGGAAGTATAAAATGTGGCTTTCAACTTACCATTAGTTGATAAGAAATGCAAATAAGGTAAAAAATGATCAAAATATAGAATTATTTGCCAAATGAATGAAAATATTAAAAATAATTTGCCAAGAAAGGAATGATATTCCTATCTGTCAACCATCATCATGAACAAAAATTATTCGTGACAGTTTAAGCACAAAGTCAAGCACAGCGAGTCCATGACTTCTAGAAGCTGGTGATCATATCCTTATTTTATAGATGAGGAAACAGAGGATCACAATAGTAAGGGACTTGTCCAGTGACACACATAAAAATTAATGATAGAGTGTGCCATTAGAATAATGAAGGTGAAATGAACTATGGCAACAAGCCTGAATTGGTTTTCATGCCTATAGTGATACCTCTGCCCTCCTGCCCTCCACTTTATGCCCTGCTCCCAAAATAATCTTCCAGAAATGCCTTTGATCTATCACTGACTTGTTTAAAGACCTCTTCCGGGCTCCATGAAATCTAAACTTAAGGCTGCTTTCCTTACTTTTTTTCTTACTGCCTTTCTCTCCCTCTATGCAAACTAAGTACAAATCAAGCTATTCTCCAAAACACTCTGAACATTTTTAAATGTATGCCTTTGTGCATACTGTCCTTTCACCCCGTAATGCCTTGCCTCTTATCTCTGCAAATGCAAGCTTACCCATCCTATGTTCTGCTCAAAAACCACCTCTGGGGCCTTCCTTAATCTCTTCCAGTTGGAATTAATCTCTTCCATACTAAGCCTATTATACCTCTGGGGTATATATCTATTGCTCCTAAAAAACTGAAAGTTCACTGAAGACTGAGACCTTCAATCTATCATATTTGTATCATCTGCAGTTCATTGAATAACTTACACAGAGCCACAGAGAAGTAGCAATGACATAGCAATTTATTAGTAATAACAATAAACATAATTAAAATAGATGACTTTTATTAGGCACTCACCCCATAGCAGGCAGTAATCTAAGTGCTGTAGATGGAATCAGAATTCGAAGCCAGACAGTCGACTCCAAGATCCTTGTTTTTAGCTGCGTAGGTTCTGGAGTCAGCTGCTCTGGACTGAATCCTGATTCTACCACTTACTGGCCGAGTGATCTCTCTGTTCCTCAGGGCTTCATCTTTAAAGTGAAAATATTAATAGTGTTTGCCTCAAGTTTTTAAATAGATTAAGTTAGATAATTTGTGTTAAATGTTTAGGGTAGTGCCTAGCACATAGCAGTGCTGATTTGTAGTTAACTCTACTTATTATAGATTGTTCTAAGTATTTGGTGAGTTAAATTAACTCAACTATCTTGGGTAAAACACTTCTTACTTTCTCACCTCCTATCGCTTTAAGGACCTACCCGTGAGCCACCTCCTCTTGGAGTCATTCCCAATGTCAGGATTATTCTTTCACAGGGTGGTACACTCCTGATTTTCCACAGCATCTAACTATAACATCTGTTAGCTTCAGGAAATAGTTATGGCCAGCTATGGTTAGCAATAATGTAAGAAACAGCTATGGAATTACCAACTTTTTCTCAGGATAATAGAAAAATGATTATCTAATCTTTTGTGTTTTGAATCTAATCTTTCCACTGACTCACCTAAACATGTAAAAACTATTCTTGTGGTTGGCAGAATACTTTGAAAATCCTGAGTAGGAATATTTAAAACAAAAACTCTGTACTTGGTCACAACTACAGCAGAATTCTAATTTATAAATTGGAAAGTAAAAACCTCACAAGGTCCCCAGGTAGCGTTAACATATCAAAGATGAAGTGTTTACTCAATATTCTAGTAAAATCCCAATTTAATTCAATCTTTTCCCATACAAGAATTGTTTTGGTATCTGAGGAACCATACTCAATTTTCTAGGTTATATTAAAGCATGTTTTTGATGAGGTAATACATAAAGATGTATTTTCCTATAATGAAAAGTAAACATATAGTAGGCATTTTCCCTGAATAAGATGAAAGGGATTTTACACTTGTCAGGACTTGATAGCTTGTTAGGTCAGCCATACGCCATGATATGGTTCAGGAGGGTGACACAAATAACCAGAGGAGTGGTCGCAATGTATTTTGATGTTGCTATGTTTTGGTCATGCGTTTTGGAACTGAAACATGATAGTAGTCTAAGTCAGTCACTGGCTAATTGGTTTTCAGCACTAAAATAACTTTTTATTTCTTTTCTCTAGTTATTTAATGAGAATAATTTATACAATATTAGGTATTTTATATTTTAGTATTAGGTGTTTTTTTTTTAAGATTTTATTTATTTATTTGAGAGAGAGAGAATGAGAGACAGAGAGCACGAGAGGGAAGAGGGCAGAGGGGGAAGCAGACCCCCCGCTGAGCAGGGAGCCCGATGTGGGACTCGAACCCAGGACTCCAGGATCATGACCTGAGCCGAAGGCAGTCGCTTAACCAACTGAGCCACCCAGGCGCCCGTATTAGGTGTTATTTTATATTTTAGTAGGATCATACTTTCGTGGGATCATAGCAAATACTAACCTGCTTTGACTCAGTCCTAAAATCTTGCAAGATGATATATATATATATATTTAAGTATCTGAGATCATCTTAAGGCAGCAAAGATTATCGTCACAATGGCAAAGATTAGGAAGAAAGAAAGGGAGAGTGTGACATAAAATGAAGTGGAAAAGAAAAAGCCTAGAAATCTAAAAGCTGAGTTCTCTCTCAGGTTTCTCTATGGGATTGTGATCCCTTATACAGGCCACTTTCAGCTTTTCTGCTACAAGTGTGAGGAAATGAGAAAATAATATCAACTACTTCAAATGCATGTACCTGGATTTCATGACAAAGGAGATTTGATTCCATTAGGCATTTGGACATAGACCTTTCAAGCCCTAAGGAATCCTTGGAAACAAGCATTTTAGTGAAGGCCTAGGAACCTCTAATAACAAATCATTTCTTTCTCTTTAACATAATGATGTTCAAATGTAAGTTCTACATATTTTGAATTCCATAAAAGGATATGTGGTAGTATAATTTATGGATAAATCATAAATATTTGAAAAATCAATTCCACAGCATTTCTGATCTAATTCTAACTTCTTTTTCTATTTTAAATTTTACTAATTTTTTATTTTAATTCCAGTACAAATATAAAATTCTAAATTCTTATTACTTAAAATTTTAGCACTAATCAAAGAGAATAAAAGACAATATACTCAACCAATATCTGTTGCTATTGTTAAAACTGGCATTGATCAATGAAGCTTTTTAAACAAAGCCTTTCTTAGGAGTAAACTATCTCACTATATTACTGTGAGATAATCCTAAATGGACATTATTAAACAGAGACAGACAGTGCACATATTGTTCTTCTCCCTTTAACACCCTTTTTAGCTAATATGCAGGACTGAATTTTTCTCCCCTCCAGTTCCCATTCCTGCCATTTCCTAGGATATGACACATACAATACTGGGATAAATACAAACATTTGATAGTGTTCACAATTTGAATCCAACAATTGGAAGTGGTGCTCTCTCATGAGAAAACACAAACCGAAACCTGGAATGCAACTTTAACAAGCTGCAAGTCTAAAGACAGAGCCTCCCTGTTAAGAATAGCACAAAAACAACCAACTGACTTTGCAGCTGACAGAATCTGCAATGTTTCTATTGTCCCCACAGCACAGAAGCCCCCAAATCTGATGATATGATTAGGTTGTTCTGCATGTGAGGATCAAGAAGCCAGGTGAAAAGAACCACAAATTAGGATGGAGACAGGGAGAAATAAACTCAGAGAAAGAAAGTGACAATGAGCTTATAAACAAAAATTCTAAAGCACATGAAGAAATCAAATACCAAATACAGCTAATCAAATCAAGAATTAGCACATTCACTTCAAGCTAAATTAATTTTATGAAATATTCTAATAAAGACTTTGGATATCTACATTTATAATACTGAAATTGATAAATGGAAGAATACTTCTATTTTTTAAATGGCAAGGAATTATTTTTTTAAAAGAACAATGAAAATGGCTAGGCATGAAAGAGAACAAATCCTATACATTTAAATAAAAATCATGGTTATTAAAATTTGAAAAATAATTTCTACATCAGAGTAGAAGAGAAAAGCAGTGAATTGGAAGAATAATTTAAGGAATTCATTAAGAATGCAGTATAGAGAACAAAGAGATAGAAACCATAAAATATAAACTCAAAATAGCATGGTACAAATAAATTCAAATATATTAGTTAATTAAAATACTGTGAATGGCTCAAACTCATCTATTAAAAGACAGATTACAGATTAGATTTTTTTTTTAATACAGCTATAAGTTGCTAGCAAGAGGTATGATAAGGTGATGTGAATACTAACCATAAGAAAACTAGTACAGCAATATTAATATAAGATGGCATAGAATTTAAGGTAAAATATTAATAAGGATATCATGGACAAAAAGAAAGGGAAAAATTCACTTAAGAAATGTTAACAATATGAGCTTATTTGCAACTAAGAACTAAGAGTCTTGAAATATTTAAAGTGAAACAGGCATAATTACAAGAAGAAGTGGATTCCTCCATTATATTAGTAGATTTCAAGGAATGCTAGTTGAAGCAGACTAAGTATATAATAAATATGTACAGAATTCTATACCCAAAAATGCATACATAGAATAATAATTAAATTGATAATGTAGTAGGTTACAAAGGAAGTGTTAACATAGTTCAAATAATTGGCAATAAATCATATTCTATGACACTAATAATCAGAGATCATAAAAAAATTAAATGTCCTGTTAAATAACACATTTATGTGTTAAATTATAGTGGGAATTCTGGGAAACAGGAAATAATTAGAAGTGAATGGAAAATTTTAAAATATTATATATATACACACACACATACATGTTTTGAGATATAATTATCTCAAAACCAGTTCAATGCAGTTAAAAATGTTAGCTTTATTTTATAGTATTATATGAACTTTTTTTAAGAAAAAGGATTAAAAATAAATGAGGTAAACATTCACCTCAAAAGAAACAAGGAAAATGATTAAAAATAATACAAACTAGTTGTTCTAATGTGAGAGTTTTTGCAAAGTGCATAAAAGAATATGCAAAAATCCATAGTGTTCTTATACACTATTGGAATAACTAACAAAATGTCAAACTAATAACTATTAGGACTAGTGAGAGAGTTTGGCAAAGTAATTGAATAAGTGACACATAAAAATCAAGTCTTACAATATATTAATAATTTCCCAAAAGAAATATAGTGGGGAAAAAATAACTCATTCACAATAGCACCAAAATCCATAGATTTATAGGAATAAATCTAATAGTAAACGGGCAATGCATTCATGGAGAATATTGTAAATCATAGTTGAAAACAAAAATACACTGTTCTTACAGATGGACTCAATATTTTTAAAATGTCAGTTCTTCTCTACACATTCATTAAATTCCACTAAAAACAAGTTTTCCATGAAATTTGATAAGCTGATCCTATAATTCAGATGGAAAAACAAAGGGCCAAGAGTTGTAGAATTTTAAAGAACAAAGTATAGGAAACTTACCCCACCGATAAAAAGATCTACTTTGCCCCCTTCTGATATCAAGATCTATAAATCTATAGAAATTAAGGCCTTATAGGAGGGCACTTGTGATGAGCACTGGGTATTGTATGTAAGTGATGAATCACTAAATTCTGCACCTGAAACTAATATTACACTGTATGTTAACTAACTGTAATTTAAATAGAAACAGGAAAAAAAGAAATCTGGGCCTTATAGATTTACAAAAGGAAAAAGAGAGGCAGAAACATATCCACACACACAAAAAAATTGGTGCATTACAGATACATATTACAAATCCCTACCTACCCTTGAGAACTTGGAAACATTTCCTTTACAGGAAGTCCTCATCACTCTCTGCCTCCAGTTACTGGGATACAATGGATTCCATCTGGAATGAACATCTTATTCAGATGGAGCCAAATGAATTTCTCTCTCCTAGGAGTTTAGAACTGACATCCAGAAAACTCTAACCAGTTAAGTTTAGGACATTTATAATCAGGTTGTAATACTGTTATTGGATAATTCTATTTTAGGAACCATATATCTAGAAGAGTAAGTCAAAAGAGAAAATCCACTGACCAAAACAGGAAAATGAAGTGGACACAGGGAAAAAAAAAAATGGGAAAATATAA